CATATTAGTGCTTTTAAGATGATGTGACTATTAATTAATCTGAAGTGTTGTGATCTTCAAGCCTCCATAGCTTATAGAATCATGAGTAGAGGTGGCACTTCCTAATGTGTGGCCATTTTAATAAGCAAGCATGATTATTGCAGGGCTTGAATTTGGAATTAAACTTTAAAAAGGATATGTATTAAAGCATGCAGTTTATATAGGAAGTGCCATGAAAGGATGACATGTTTTTTTGTTTTCTGGGTCCCGAGACAAAATTAGTGCATCAAACTTTGCAATGATATCATGTTAAGAGAAGTGAAATGTTTTTTTTTTAGTTCTCTATTGAACTCTCTTTTAAGCTCTATCTTTTCTCTTCTACCCCAAGTAATTTTGTACTATATATAACACTCAAAAAGGTTTTTCAAAAACATTGTTGCCATATGGTCATGGTTTTATATTTTCATTCATCGAGTATCCCATAGCGTTTCATAACAACATAATCTCTCATATAAGTCTAAATAGTACAAAACAAAATACATAATGGCAACATAATCTCTCTCAAACTTTAAGTCTAAATAGTACAAAACATAATACATAATGACAATAATTAGTTGATAACTGATTGTATTAACAAATAGCGAATATCGGATAAAATTAGTCTCTACACCACAATTACTCTTCGAGAAATCCTCTTATGTAGCTTACAAAAGGAATCAGATTGAGGCAAGCTTTTGCAAGAATGGACAACTCTTTTGGTATGACACATTTTAGTTACACTTTTGAAGGAAATGTCACCCATGGTAAATGATATGATGATTTTTTGGAAAGCATATTATATAAATACACTTTTTATAAAGTATGGTTGTTATGTTATTTCATAATGTTTTCCGTACATGCACGATGCACAAAATTGAATATGTCCAATAAGTTGATGTTGCAGGTGATTAGCATGCCATAGATGGTGAATATGGTATTCAAAGAATAAGAGATCTTGACATGTTACTAGTGGACACATTTTAATATAATGAGCACATTTCAACGTTTTTCAAAAATAGTCACAATATGATTACTAGATCGTTACTTGCATGAGCTTTATTTTTTTAAATATACAAAAAATACATAATTACAATTCCGAATAGTGAATCCAGAGAGAGTCAAAAATGATTATAGCCTAGAATCAACTATATTAAAACACACTCACAGGACTAAGAAACTACAATATTAGAATATTATTCCCCATAAGAGGAGAATGTTACTTCCCAGATGAGAGAATAAAACATCAACACCAACACAAACACAAACACAAACAAAAACTAAACACACTAATAGTAGAAAACTGCCGTCTCGACAGCAGGCAAGCCACTCCGAACCAAAACCATGATGCCGACTCCTGAGGGTGACTACCCCCATGAACAGAGATACGACCCAAGTCGCATATTTATAACTGCAGTATTGCTATGCCTAACTAGATTTAAAACCAACGGACTCGATCCCTCTCCTAAGTATGACCCTCGAACCAAAAACTGGAGGCATGTCCCTGTCTCCACCCCCACCAACTGATAACCACATCCCGACAAATGATCGGAGCCAAGACACGCACCCACTGATGAAACCCACTAACCCAACAACAGCGAAGATAGGAAACAAGGTGTAGGAGAAAGAAGACAGTAAAAGGAGCTAGCAGCTAAACAGTGCCGCCGAACACGTCGGAACCGCTCTCGAAACTCGCCACAGACACAAACAACAAAACACTACATCGACCGAGAGGACAATGGTATGATGGGAGCCAGGTTGCTAGGCCCGGTGATGCCAAGCACCCCGTTGAGAGAAGGCCACATGAATAACGAAGGCGCGTGTTTATGTTCACAGGGGAATCAAGGTGTTTTTTTGGGAGCTCTTTTCTGGAGTTATTTTTTTATTTATTTTTTATTGTTGTTAAACTATTAATAATTTCACACTTATTGTTTATTACATGCATGGTATTCTAGAAAAAATTTATATGAAAGTCAAAACAAAAAACAAGGTGTTTAAAACGGGAAAAAAAAAAAAACTTTATATTGTGACCTAGAGGAATTCTATTAGTAACACACTTTCAAATGTTATATTATGATCTAAGTAATTTTGTACTATAACACTCCATGATAGGTTTTTCAAAACATTGTTGCCACATGGTCATGGTTTTATATTTTTACTTATAGAGTATCTCATAACTTTCCACATCAACATAATCTTCCACAAACTCAAAGTCTAAAAAGTACACAACATAATACATAATGACACCACTTGTGTGATAGCGAATAGTTGATAATTGATTATAGTAGATAACAAATAGTAGATAGCATTAGCTGGTTTGACTAGATGAATTAATTAGAAATTGTTAGTTAAGTATTTGGTATATAGCCAAAACTTAATTGTTGCATTATATTGCATTTGTTTTTAATCATCTATTCTCAAAATGCAATTCTTTTGAGTGTTTTTAATAATTAACATTTTGGGTCAAAAAACGAATCAAATAAATTGTTACCAAATATATTAATTAATTTGTCAAACCTCTACATGAATTCCAATCTTCTAATTTAGTACAAATTAGCTAATAAATATTTCGTAAAATGCAATATTGTTCATTGTTTATATCTTACCATGGACGGTGCAGGATTGAGGAGCAAACAAAGTTTAGTGTTTGGAGGCCCATGTACTTAATTATATTTCTGTAAAATGGGCCCACTTTTTAGTCCAATTAGGTAACCTATTTGAAAAACCAGCACGATCAATTCAAGATTCTGAACTGAAGTCAAACACACTTCAAATCTTCACAGATTTTCAATTTTTGCTTTACCAATAATAATTCTCTACTTTTCTAGAAAATAAAAGAGCAAAATATAAAACAATTCTATGACTTTTGATTCTGTAAAAATTGACTAACGTAGTAGAATCACTTATATATGCACTAAAGGTGTCTTATTTGAGTCGAGTTGAGTGATGTGTGGTCTAGCTCTTCTTGGTTCGCTAGGTAGACTTATAAATGAACGAACTGTTTGAGACCGTGAATGTTCATTATTACATAAGTTTTTTTTTTTTTTTTAATCATTATTACATAAGTTCGATTTATATATACGTTACATTTGAAATTCCATAAAAATAATTAGCGAACAAACTCAACTCGTTAATAAACGAGTTCATTTAATTGTCAAATACGGCTCGTTTAAGCTTGCACGAGCCGAACGTAAACTTTTTTTTTTTGGTACAAGAAGAAATGGAGGCTAAGCCTAATTACGACGCCAAGCCTAATTACGACGATACCAACACATTGTTGGGGTACGACACCTCGGCCACATCATGAGCAAGCCAAGTCCTCGCACCTGAGGGAGGAGCATCCAACCGTTGAACTCCGCCAGGCCCTTGCCGTAAGGGATGCCAAAAAATCAGCAACAAAATTCGCTTCCCGATATCCATGCTGCAAAATCACATGCCATGTCCGGCCTAACAACTCCCTTATCCCTCGTAGAATCGCCCTATGGATACTGCATTCATCATCCCCACGGACCATCGCCGATAATACTCTGATTGTCTACCTCCACTACCACCTTGCGGGCCGCTATCTCCCATGCAAGCGTCAAACCCTGGAACAAACCCCAAAGTTCGACACCAATAACGGAGCAAAACCCAATGTTCATCACAGCCATTTCCCCATATGGTCTCGAATAACACCGCCTGCACTAGCCATACCCGTACTCGGTAAGTGACTGCCATCTGTGTTGACCTTCACCACACCTTCCTCAGGCGGTTTCCACCCTATCCATCGTTGTTCACGCTGGCCGACCGCACCTAACGAACCACCACTAGCCGTGGCCGCATCAATGCTATGAACGAAAGAAAGGACGTCATGCACACGAGAATCTATAGACCGGTGCTCACCTCGAAAAATCGTGAAGTTTCGCCATCACCACATACGCCAAGTCGTGACTCCAAAGATGGACGGCCAACCCTCAGCGTTTTGCATCAACGTCCCCTCCAAATTTGCGCAGGGGGAGAGAGAAAAATGCCGCCCATGCATCTCGAGACAACAACTTACGCCAAGTGGCCGCCGCTATAGGGCAGTCACGCAGCACATGCAGCGTGGACTCACCGGCCTCCATACAAATTGTACAGTATGATGAGTCTGTCAAATGGCGGTACTGGCGCGCCTCGTTTGTCAGAAGACTATCGCGAAACGCAAGCCACAGAAAATGTCGGATCCGTTGTGGACCCGTCCACCGCCAAATCAATCGCCAACAACGATTTCGCCTAGAAGTCGATGGAGTCGCGAGAGCCGCATAAGCCGACCGCGTAGTTAACCTCCCATTGGGGAGTTTCCCCAATAGCGACGTCATCCTCGCTAGTCGGTTGAGGGGGCATAACAGCTGCAATTTTGAGCAGACAAGTGGCGGGGACAAGGTGATGAAAGAGGCTCCAGTGCCATCAACCATCAACGGTCGCAAATGCCGAAACCAGTGCATGAAGCAAATGCTCCGGAACAGGTTCAGTAGCATACATAATCAGAGGCTCCGAAGCATGTAGCCATCTATCCCACCAAAAAAGAACCCGTCCACCATTCCTAATAGACCATCTAGTGCCGATAATCACATCCTTCCAAACACTCCTCAATGCCGTTAGTACACTCGACCCCCGAGGAAAAGAAAACTCTGCCCCCATAACTTTGTTCGTGAGCAAATGAGTTCAAATAACATTTCTAATTTCATACCTTCCATGATACATATGCATGATGCACCATAAGCCACCTGCCCATACATAAGAAAACACCAAAAAATTAAAAAAAAAAACATAAATGATTATACCTTGACAGAGGAGAGAGATATTTGGTGTAGGACTGTAGGTGTAAAGATTACATTTTTCCTCCTATTTTCTTGATTAAAATTAAAAAAAAAGTCATATGTTGGCTTAATTGCTAGTTTTCACAACCTCTCATTTGCCTAAAAATAGCCCTGCTAGAACCCTGCTTGCAATAAAGACGGCCCCTCTGAGTTCCATTTATTCTATTCAGTCTTTTCACTGTTTTTGTGTCATCTTTATTGCCTGCTTTCTTTGTGCATAGTAACCTTTTCTTCTAATTTCTCATAATAAATGCACATCTCAGTTTGTTTGGTGTGGTCCGTGTGGATCATATAGAAAGAGAGAATCCTAATGCTAATCTATTACACATAAAGCCACAATTTTTTTTGAGCAATTTAGTATCTCTACAAGAAAAGCTGTTGGGATCTTTTGAGTGCTGGTTT